CAAGATTCCTGAAAAGAAAACATTGAGAAGTTTTATGGCCCAGAAAATTATGATATTTGCAAAAACCTCTCTTCTTTCTTTGATCAAGAGGAGGCACTTTTACCCCAGGGGGTACTATCATTTTGCCATCTTTAACTAGCAAGTCGAATATTTCATCACATTTTGTGATGTCAAAACTATAAGTCTTTTTTGGGAACCTATCGTTGGTCTTGTCTGGACCAATGGGATTTTTCCCATTTGAGGGGACTAATTGTTTACAAGAGTATGGAGGCCCTTGTTTTAGTTCTGCTAAATCGACTTCTCCTTCTTCGACAGCTAAAGTATCGTCGAAGGATTCTAGATCTTCGTCGTCCATCTCAACATAAGCTATTCTTTCTCTCTTGTGAGTTTTCGTTGCCTTAGCTTTCTCAGCTTTGAGGCGTTCGACTTGTCGAACTCTATCGGCCAGTTGGGCCATGTCTCTTAGGTACTGGGTATCTAGCTTCTTCCTAATGGAATAATCTAAACCACCTGCGGCCATTTCGACCAGCTCATGTTCTGGCACTTGTGTAAAACATCTCGCCTTAAGCAACCTAAACCTATTCAGATATTCGTCTATAGGTTCAGTGAAACGTCTCTTCACACTCGCCAGTTCTTTCAGGCTTATCTTGGTTTGCCCCATATAGAATTGTTCATGGAACAACCTTTCCAATTGGGTCCAATGGTGGATCGAATTGGGGGTAGAGTTGTAAACCAAGTAAAAGCGTTCTTGGTTAAGGAACTTGGGAAGTATTTGATTCTTAGGTTTTCATTATTTGAAATGTCTCCTGCTTCGATCAAATACCTAGCCACATGTTCGACAGTAGATTCTGTCGTGTCCCCAGAGAATTTAGTAAATTTGGGGACTTTGGTTCTAGGGGGTAGGTCAGTTTGTAACACATATTCTGACAATGGAGATGTAAAGTTGGGCCTTCGAAAGCCCATGTTCATTCCATTCTGAGTCATGATTCTTTCGATCATGGTTGCCAGATTGTTTTCCAAACCCATGTTTTGGTATTGGACATGCTGAACCACTTCGTCAGCATTTTGGTTTCTGTTAACTAACCTTACCTCTGGGGCTATTACCCTAGGTTCTTCGACAGGCTGTTCAACAGGCTGTTGAGCCTGATTGATGGTGGTTTCTTCCTCTACAAATATCCCCTGATTTCCTCTTATCTGGGCCCTTTGGGGCTGTCGAATAGGTGGGGGTACTCCAAAGAAGTCAGCCAAACGCGTCATTTGCGCTGTAACTTGCTGATTCGACTGAGTAGTATTTTGTATTAGAGGATTTAGCACTGTACTCAAAGTCTGTGCCAACATTTGCACCATATCATGGTTGCTTTCGTCCATCTGTTGCCTCAAGACTGCTGTCGAGGCATTTGTAAGGCCATGGGCTACTTGGGACGTTCCTCCTAAGAGTTGGGTCCTATTTCTATTCGCCATGCCTACTCCAGAGCCTTGGAGTGGCGAAGTGGCACTCACGAAAGGGTCTGAATAAGTGGACGCAGCATTCGTCAGGCTTGCCAATTCAGAAGTTGGCATACCATAGAATGGAATAAATCCTGGGGGAACCACTGGCCTTGGGCCAGTATTTCCCCTTGGAGGGGGGGTTCCCAAAGGCATTCTGGAGCCTGTAAACGAAGTTATTGGCCCCGTGGTTGTGACTGACACTGCTGGTGTCGAACCAACATTCGTCGCTTCACTAACGGTCATATTAACCGTTGCTCCCACACTTGGTGGTGGAATTTCATTATTGTTTGGCGGATTCGCCATCTCTTCCCTTCTTCTGGCAGTATTATTATCGTTGGTGTATATTCTACCACTCCTCAATAACATACAACTCGAAAAGATGAGATTTTTTCAACAATCAACACACAGTCCCATCAGGTGTGCCAATTTGTTTACCTTGGGATTTGGTAAACAACCGCTGATCCTCCAAATGGTTACTTATTTGGTTACTCGCAGGATCGATCAGATTGATCCTATGGACATAGGTTGATTTTGAAGTTTAATTAATGTGGATAAGGCTTTAAGTAAATTGTTTAAAGTAAATTGCATAAAGGAAAAGGCTTGGTAAAATAAACAAGGCTTGAATGTAAAGGTTCGACAGGAATCTTAAAGGGGAAAAGCATGTAAAATACTGGAAAAGTAAATGACTTGAATTGATAAAATTGGTGTTTCACACATACATTTCTCAACAATTCGTTCGCTCACACTGGGTACTTGAATCTAAATGAGTGACTATGTATCTATTGTGAACACACGCGAGAAACTACACGTCTACTCCTATTTATACAAAAACATTCCAAGTAACCGTCGGGCAGTTACACTGCTTCGAGATCAAGCCACTTGTCACGTTCTCCCTGTTCGACGCTCCAGATCCTTGCACGTTAGCACGTAGTAACTGCTGGAAACCGTTTTCCCTCCAAAGCTTTGAATTTCAAACTGCTCCACTCTGGACCATCGAACACGTTCGTCAAGAGATGTCTTCGACGAAAACTCCTTCGACGTCGAAGGCAATCAGCCTTCTTCCTTGGAAGAAATCTTCTAAGTATTTTTGCCATCTTTCGACAGGCACTTCGACAGGCTTAGCCAGTCGAAAGCATTCTTCAGCTTTTAATGGCTACCATCAATCAAAACAAAGGTGTCGAATTTAGGAGCCAACAGAACGGCAATTCAATAACCAATCTCTGTGGACACGATAAATTCCCGGATAAATATTTCCAAAACTTTTGTTGCTTGCCGCTACACCGCTCCAACAAAATGACGTTGTTGTCGGGGATTTGTTCTATTGACTTCGCATTGTGATAATTCTTTTGTTTTTGAGTTTTGTAATTAATGTATATGTTGTATAGAAATTGTACATTAACTTGTATATGATATTTGTGCATATATGTGTTTTCAAGTATTATTGTGAATTATCTCGTTTTCATAACGTTTGTTGTGTGATTGTTATGACACTTTCTTTAGGTTTGTGCAGTGTGACAATACCATGATATGATTAGAGGAGGTTACTAGCTCGCACAATAAAGGCGTCGAGCTTACGACGTAAAACAAGCATGTTTGTTTGTATTTATTTATGTGTGTGGTGATTTGTGCTTTAACAAGTTAAAATAATGAAATGTTCTGAATTTTAAATCTTCACTTTTCAATTTGTTAATTCATTTTCACTCGGTTTTCATATCGTTATTTGTATTTGTTTTGTTATGTCAATTTGTGTTTTTCGAAAGCTTGTCGTGCTTAGTTTGAGGAGTTTTGTTCGTTGTATATATTATAAATTGTACATTGAAATTTTGTAGGAGTATTATTTTTCTAATTCTTTTGTTGTTGTTTGCACTCAAGTTTTGGTCCGGTAACTTGTAGAATATTGAGGTGATTTGTCAAGTTTGATAGAGTGGAAATATTTATCCGAAATATTTAAGTGTATATAACAGAGTGTGTATCGATCTGACAAGATATGGATTCTCGAAGACATTTTTTCTATTACGCAGTAGTCCACCTAAAAACTCATTCGGACGCATCATGTGCATTGAGTTTTTTTCAAAGGGCCTATATTTTATTCATGTTTATTTGAAATCTGAGTGTCCAATTCCAGCTACATCGATGGAGTGGATGGCACATTCAATAATTGAGGTTGAAACTTGATCAGATCAATTTATGGAGAGGATGATAGAGTTCACCAAATTGATGGAGTTTGAAAGAGAATCAAATAAGAAAGCATATGTGAAACCAAGTTTAGATTTATGTGGTACTGAATCTTTTGAGCATTTTAGATTATAATCGATACACTTTTTGTATGTATTTTTTTTTTAATAATCACTTTTTGTATGTATTAATTTTGATACGATTTAGTACATATTAATTTTATGATTTGCTTTTGGTTTACATTGCATGTGCTTGTTTACAAAGTTTCTGGATTTTTTCTAGTTCGGGTAAATTTTCGGATATGTAACTCCGAAGTCACCCTTTTTTGTAATAAAAGATGTGGTTAATTTGGATATACCTTTGTGAAATTTTACCTGAGACATGATAAGAATTTTGAGATCCAAAGTGACCCAATACTTATATAAATAAGGTGTGTCTCAACTCTTATTTGTTGTACCAACACACTAAAACCATATAGAATGAGTTCATATTCCCACCTTGTATTTTTTGTATTTCAATGGCGAGAAACCACTGATTCCGTTTAAGGTCACCGAGGAAACATCCCTCGCATATTTCATATTCAAATTGAATACTCTGTTGCGCTTTCTAAAAAATCACAAAATTGTCAAACTCGAGTATCAGTCACCCTCATTTGACAGCGAAAAGAATGTCTATTTCACCAACCTTGAACTGAAGATGGATGAAGATCTAAAAGTTATGTGTAATATTTTTCTCCATTATAAATCAAAGAATCTGATTGAAGTGGATGCGAAGATTCAAAGCTTTGTCAAGGATATAATCATCATGTTGCAAAGTCGTTCCGATGAAATGGTTATGTAATATTGAATTTATTTTCTTGACTCTCTATGTTATATTTTTATTTAATGAAATGTTGTTGGTATGTTTTTTATTATAATATCATGTTTTCATTCCTGTTGTCTCATTTCTGAAACCAGATTTTGTTTAAAGATGCATTTCCGAACACACCCTTTTAAGACTTCGAAGATGCATCTCCAAATTTTATTGTAAAAAAAAATGATATTTAGTGCATCCGGAAATGCATTTCCGAAAATATGAAATATTTTGGAAATTTCACGTAGAACCTGAAAGAATGTACAAGGGTGCAATGAGAAATTACCAAAAATTAAACGAAAAGTATAACAAGTTCACCATCCAACTAATTCAATAATTCAAAAATGGATTCGTTCTGATTTTTCAAAGACATTGTCAGGCTTCCATTATTTTAATTTTACAGAGCATTTTCCTTGAACGATACAACAAAGCATTTAGAATTTTTTCATTCTAAAGATGCAAAACTTTAACTACTAAATCTGACCTCATAACTGCCCTACATACTCAAGAGAAGAAAAGTGTTTGTCTATGGTGTTGAGAGTTTCTTGATCAATTTCAGTAGCACTGACCAATTTCGGTAATGAAAAATCCAATTCTTTTGCTGGTGCAACATCACCTTCAGCAGTTTGATTCTGATGCATTTCATTGTCTGCAGCTTGCACCATGGTGGAGTCTTCGTCTGAATTGAAAAGCTGTAACTTCACCTCCAAGAATGACTGCAAATCTTCCTCAGTTCGGGCTTTGTTGATTTTGTCCATAAGATCACTGATAGCTGATAACTTTTCAGTCCTCTTTCTTTTATTTGAAGATTCATTAACTTCTTTGTTTTGTTCATTGCTGTCACCATCCACAGCGCACTTCTTAAGCTTCTTTAATCCCTCGTCAACAATTTTTTTTATTCTTATTCTCACACCATCGCTTCTTGTCGAATTTGACCTTAGCTGCAATTTTAACCCAGGTATCATAATCTCACTGTTCTCCATTGGAGTGGGATTAGCCTCAGAAACAGAGGACAGAGTTTCGTCTGAATGCTTCACGGATAATACTTCTTCCAGTAAATCTACATTTTGCATGTATCGATCGAAAGCTTCATTTTCTGCTTCAACATTTTGCTCCTTGTATTCCTTCAATTTGGAAAATCTCCATTCATTTATTGATGCAGCATCCTGTAATCACACACAATGCTATTACTTTCAAGCAACATACAGCTTGCTACAAAAAGTTTTATACTCAATCAATAGTTTATAGTGTGTCTGTACCTTTCTAGTTAGAGGTTTCTTTGATCGAAGTGAAAGATGCAAATTATTGAACTGAGCAAAACTATTTGAAAGTTGTCGAAGTGATGCAACTCTACCTGCACTTCTGAAATAAAAAGCAAAATGAACTTAAGGCAAAAATATAAGACTCTGGAAGATGCTTTAAATGCTGATTCTATAATTGAACCAATGAAGTAATTAGAAGAAAAAGTGGAGGGGGGACTGGGAGTTCAAATAAATCACTAATTGCAGACAATTTTAAAATCTCTAAATTTTAGAGATTGATATATCTAGTTACAAAAGGTACAGTTCCTGTTTTCTATAAATCCAATTCAAGATTTTGATATTTGTAAATATAGTGTTAAGAATATTTACATGTAGAATAGTCTCATATCGATTATATCATGTAATTAGTTGTAATCTCTCTATATATAATAAAGTCTCCGTAGTGCTTTCAAAACAAACGGTTTAACCTAAATATTTTTTAGTCTCTCCTAATTCAATATGATATCTAGAACCTTCTAAGAAGCAATTCTTTGTTGTGCTTTACCATGTCATCATTCCAATATCTAGACCCGCTGTCTTCCGGTGAGAATTTTTTTTCTGCAAACCATATCATCATTCCGGTATGCCTCACCTTTTTCTTTTTTTTTTAATTTTTCCAGCGACCTTCGCCGCCGCACTATCCACGAGAAAAAAAAATTTTGGGGCGCTACTGTCCACCGCCATTGTCACTGTTCACCGCCGCCAGTGTTAATCGTTGCCGCTAGTGTTCACGAAAAAAAATTTATCAGAAAATCGCCTTCCTCCTCCGGTTCCAGATCCGTCCTTGGTCTCCGTTTCCGACTCACAAAAAGTCGTACTCTTGTTCAAACAGCCCCAGTTGTTGTGTTTTAAACCATGAGAGATGCTGATTATGTCTCGTTTACTAAAGTTCCACTTATCCCATGTGAAAAACTAACCGGATCAGCCAACTATAACATATGGGCTCGGCTGTCGAGATGTGGTTTCACGGTCAAGGATATGAAGAGCATTTAACCATCCAATTGAGTGACGTTGCAGCCGCCAAACTCGCTAAATGAAAGAAAATTAATGCCTCTTTGTGTATTGTGTTGTGGTTTTTCATCCAAACGCAGTACCAAGCATTCTCCATTTGTTATGAGGTGTGGCAAAAGGCCAAGAAAGTATTTTCCAACGTTGTTCATTCTCTATACAGTGTCATCCACAAACTCAACACACTGAAATTGGAAAATATGGATATGCAAGCTTATTTGAGTAAGCTTGATGCCTTGAAAGCAAGTTACGCAACCCTCATGCCTTAGCAAAAGATGCAACAGCTCATGCCGAACAACAGAGTAAATATTTCATGGTCATGGCACTTAAAGGACTACCATCAGAACTCAAATCCGTTCGTAACCAGATTTTATCAAATACTATTGTTCTTAACTATGATACACTTAGTGAATTACCAGTAACATGTTTCCGGTAACATGATCATCTTGCCCTCATACACCTCAACAAAGTGGAGTAGCCGAACACAAAAATCGGCATCTCGTAGAAACCACTCGGACTCTACTTCTCCATGGTAATGTCCCTCTCAGATTTTGGGAGGATGCTGTGCTCACGGTGTGTCATCTCACGAATCGCATGCCTTCATATGTCCTTAATAATAAAACCCTCATTCAATCATGTTTCCAAACTCTCCTCTTCACCCAATTCCTCCTCGAGTCTTCGAGTCTACATGTTTTGTGCATAACCTCTCCCTTGGTCTTGATAAACTATCAGCTTGATCACTAAAGTGTGTCTTTCTTGGTTATCATCGATCCCAAAAGGGATATCGTTGTTACTCACACACTCTACAACGATACCTGATATCGTCTGATGTTACCTTCTTCGAATCTGTGTCATATTCTGCGTCCACCCAAGTCACTCTGGAACCCCTTCAGAAAAGTACTCCCACACCTCTTCCAGAAGTCCCATTTCCCATTATCCCCCATCATTCTAGGAAACGTGTCCCACAAGAAACCCTTATGGTTGACATCCCCACTTCTCGCCCACTTCAAACATATCAGTGTCGTCAACCAATGTCTATCATACATGTCCCTAAGGTTGTACATGTCCCTGAGGTCATTGCAGACTCTCCTCCGACGCTATCGCCATCACCGAATCAAATCTTGCAACTTGGGTCTGATCTTCCGATTACCCTTCGCAAAGGTATACGTCAAACACGAAATCCATCTCCACATTATATTGATTTATGTTATCATCGTCTTTCCCCTTTGCAGTATACTTGTTTGTCCTCTTTGTCTTTTGTTTCTATTCCTAAATCTTCAGATGAAGCATTATCTCACCCTGAATGGAGGCAAACAATCATTGATGAAATGTGTACTCTTCAAAACAGTGGTACCTGGGAACTGGTTCCTTTACCCACTAAAAAATATTTAATAGGTTGTCGTTGACTTTATACAGTGAAGGTTGGTCCAGATGGTAAGATTGATCGTTTTAAAGCTCGCTTGGTAGCCAAGAGATACACTCGAATTTTTGAGTTGGATTATAGTGATACCTTCTCGCCTGTAGCCAAGATGACATCTGTTAGACATTGGCCTCTTCAACTCGACATCAAAAATGTATTTTTACATGCTGATATTGAATAGGAAGTATATATGGAGCAACCACGTGGGTTTGTTGCTCAGGGGGGGTCATCGAATATGGTTTGTAGGCTACACAAGTCTCTTTATGGTCTTAAGCAATCTCCGAGAGCTTGGTTTGACAGATTCAGCACTGTAGTACAACAATTTTTTATGGTCCGCAGTGAAGCTGACCATTTTGTCTTTTATCGTCACTAAGCTTAAGGGTGTATTTATCTTATTGTGTATGTAGATGATATTGTCATAATTGGTAATGATGAGTCGGAAATACTCTAGTTGAAACAACATCTTTCGAATCAATTTCAAACAAAGGATCTTGGTAAACTTCGGTATTTCTTGGGTATTGAGGTAGCCCAACTAAAGATGATTTGGTGATTTCTCAACGGAAATATGCTATGGATATTTTAGAAGAAATAGGTTTGTTGAACGCTAAGCCAGTTGATACTCCTATGGATCCAAGTGTCCAACTACTACCCAATCAAGAGGAGCCTCTATCAGACTCGGGAAGGTGTAGGAGATTGGTAGAAAAGTTGAATTATCTCACAGTCACTCGTCCAGACAGTTATTTTACAGTCAGTGTGGTAAACCAGTTCTTAAATTCCTCATGTCAGAAACACATGGATGTTGTTATCCGGATTCTAAGATACATCAAATGTGCTCCAGGAAAATGTTTAGTGTATGAAGATAAAGGACATACTTAAATAGTTGGATACTCTGATGCTGATTGGGCAGGGTCACCAATTGATAGACAACCCACCTGAGTATTGTGTACTTGTTGGAGGAAACCTTATATCCTGGAAAAGTAAGAAACAAAATATAGTTGCAAGATCAAATGTCGAGGCAGAATATAGGCCAATGGCAATGGCAACATGTGAACTCATTTGGTTAAAACAGTTGCTCAAAGAACTTAAAATTGAAGAAGCAAGACCAATGACACTTGTATGTGATAATTAAGTTGCATTGCACATTGCTTCAAATCCAGTCTTCCATGAGAGGACCAAACATATTGAGATAGACTGCCACTTTATCATAGAGAAGATTGAATCTGGCGACATCGTCACAAACTTTGTCAACTCTAATGATCAATTGAAAATGTGTTTACAAAATCTCTACAAAGTCCCAGAATTGATTATATATGTGACAAACTTGATGCATTTGACTTATATGCTCCGGCTTGAGGGAGAGTGTTAATATTTATAAATATAGTGTTAAGAATATTTGTATGTAGAATAGTCTCACATCGATTATATCATGTAGTTAGTTGTAGTCTCTCTATATATAATAAAGTCTTCATAGTACTTTCAAAACGCATGATTTAACCTAAATGTCTCTTAGTCTCTCCTAATTCAATACAAGATATCAACCAAACCAAATAAAATAAACACTCCTCTCAAGCCTGAATGTCATTTACATCAAACATTTGAATTTTTTTGGTTCCTTTTTAAAAAATAAACTAAAAAATTAATTACTTCTCTCTTATTTAAAGATTGGAGGCGATGTAAAAACAATAACGTAAGCCAATAATGAGTTTCAATTATTTGGAGTGTAATTTAAAAAGTAAGTTATTAACAAATTTAATGCTACTACAAATCAAGAAGGTTCTATATATAGGGACGAAGGTAGAAGATGTGTTTCAACAACAGGCACATTTAGCTAAAATGTCTAGTAGTTGATCACTACAATTCACGAATAAGGATCATTAGTGTTATTTAATCACAAAGGATCATTTCTAAGAATAAAGTAGCATCTAAAACACATGCTCACTAGGTTAAAAAAATAAGCGGAAAAAAAACAATGCAAGACAAACAAGTGTTTTTGAAGGGTAAAAAGGAAAATATACTGAGATTTAGTCTTCTAATAGAATTGATGAAAAACCATATATTCTTAGTTTCTTTTTACAAACCTGGATTTAGAGTAATATATATTAGAGTTTGGCCTAACTCATCCTTACAAAACCGGCTTGTAAGGTGAGGGGTGACACAATATAAACTCTTTCAAGACTCTATGTCTAACAAATGTGGGACTTGAAATTTTCTCATTCACCCACCCCCTCACGCCCAACACTCTTTTTAGGCTTTGGAGCTTGGATATAAACAGTAGGCGGCCCATGGTCCGATCGATAAGCTCTGATATCATATTAGAGGTTGACCTAACTCATCCTTACAAAATCGACTTGTAAGGTAAGGAGTGACATTCTATATAAACTCTTTCAAGGCTCTATGTCTTATCAATGTGGGCTTGGGATTTTCCCAATAATATGCAAGATAACATGACTGTAAAATATCAGTATCAGAGAACCTACTTTTTTAAAACCTCAAATCTTGGTAGTTGTTTCAAACATAAAATGCTTACAAATCATGTAAAATTGTCTCTTGGGCTGGCACCACATCTACCACAAGAAGTGTAACGGGAGACATATCAGAGGTTCTAAAAACATTTGATATGAGACAATCGTGAACAAAATGAGCCATAAAGACTGCTGCATGTTCTATCAAATGTGGATGTTAATACTCCTTTCCTTCTGTTCACACGACTCAGAGCCTACACATGGCTAAATAAGTGCAATACCACTCTTGTGTGAATTTCCAATAACTGGTCTTGGGTCCGGTTAACAAAGATACTATGCATTTCTTGCAAGATATCAGTAGTAAGTTGAGTGGGGAGAAGATTGAAATGCCTCACTAGAGTGGTGCATGGTACTAATAACTAATTGAACATCATGAATATTAATCTTTAAATCGGTACATGTTAGGAACCAATCCTCATATCAGTAAAATATGGCAAGAAATGATCAAAAAGGAGACTGTATAATAATAAATATGATTGAAGGAATTACAGAAGGGAAAACACCCAAATCTTTCACATAGCTAAGCTCTTATAGGAAGCTAAACTAGCTAGATTCTCAGAGTGGCCCTTTCAGATATGCCCCTCTATTAATAACAAAAAGTAGTGATCAGTCTCAACCTCACTCCCCACGTCACCAATTCAGCTCTCCTTACTTTTAGTTTTGGAAGTTCTCAACTTACCCCGTCTAGAATAAACCAGCCAAGTTCTGGACCCACTAGCATTATGAAGGGCCAAATTGCTCCTTGGGCCTTTACTAGCAGCTTGGGTCCCTAACAATACTCCCTCTTGAAGCCACAGCCTTGTTCTCAAGGCTAAAGTATGGAAAATGGTCCTAACAATACTCCATCCCCTTCCACTGTATTAACACTTGTAGCACCCTCCTCCCCTCTGGCTTGCACCAACAGATGCCAGGATGGTCTCCAGATCGCACACTGCGGCATTATCCCCTGACATATGATCTGCTAGCTCTCTCTCCTCATGATACTCTCTCATTGCCTTCTTTAAAAGGAGCACATGAAACACTGAATGAACCTCGGAAGTAACCGGTAGTTTGAGCTTGTTCGCCACAGCCCTATCCTTTCCAGTCTTGATACGGACCATAATACCTTGCCGCTAGCTTCGCGAAAACACAACCGACTGCAGCCTGTGGCTCGGAATTTAACAAAAATCCATTCACCTACCTCAAAACTCTTTCCTCTCTTCTTATCAACTTGAGATTCCATCCTCTATTGAGCACGTAGCAATTGAACTCTCAACTATCTCAAAGCTTCATCACGATCTAGTAAGTGCCTCTGAACAGCCTCCACCTGTCTTCCCCATGCAGCCAACGCGTGATAATCGGAGGTTACCTCCCATATCTGTTCTGGGAAGGGTAGAGGGCGACTGCAGCAACCATGGTAGTCAAAATTGCGCTCCAACTCGTAGGATCTTGCAGTTTTACGATCTTGAAGGGGCTTTGTTGATCCCATGAAGGTGAAATTTTGGATTTGAGTCGGGACGGTGGAATCGCCAGGCAAACACGTATGAGCGATGGGATTGTGCATGCTGCTGATTCTGTTCATCTTTATCGCATTTAGGGTTTCGCAGGTCGGGTTTGTGACCAGGTTACTTAGTAACAACGGCTAGGCTTCAATAACACTGAAAAAATGGGTTTTTCTATGCTGTTGTAACCTGCACCATTTATTTCTCATCCATAATCACAATTAAATTAAATCCTAACTAATCCAATACACCCATTAATTTTTTGAAACTTCCCAATACAGCCACCAAGCCTATTCAATAGTTAGATTATTTGCATTCACTCTCCCTCTCTCGTTCACTTTAAATACCCTGGAGTTTTTTTGGTTGTTTTTGAATTTTGTTTTATGTTCCTTAATCTGAGTTGGTTTGAAGTATCTTGGGTGTGATTTGAAGGTTTTTCTTGCAATCCGTGTCACTTTCCCCCGATTCACGACCTTGTGACCCCTCCCCGATCCCGTGTAGGATCTTGAATTTGACTACCTTGGCTATGAGGCTTGCTTTATTCTCCCTGGCGGTGCTTTGAACATCCATCAACGTGGGTTTTGGTATGGTTAAAGTTCGACGAAGAGAAACGGTTCAACGGAAGAGATGGAAGGAGGGTGAAAAATAAATCACCAGATCAATCGTAGCGGAGTAACAAATTATTAATAATATTTCAGACAACTCTGTTCCCGACGCTGCTACTTTTGCTTCCATAGCTTCCATTGCCTTCTGTGACATTCACCTTGCTATCAAGAGACTATAAGTCACGCTGATCCCAGCAAACGTTTCCAGCAGATCATACCAGTTTGTTAATTTATCCTCAAAACGGTAAAATATAGGAAGAAATCATCAAAAGGGAGACTGTGTGTTATTAATGAATGCAATTGAAGGAATTACAGAAGGGAAAACACCCAAATCTGCTACATGGCTAGGCTCTTATAAGAAAACTAGTGCCTCCTATTCATAAATAACCAGCGAGATTCTCAAGAGCCATCTTTCCAGATATGCAACTCCTCTATATTCTCAAGAGTGATCATAAATAACAAAAAGTAGTGATCAGTCTCAACCTCACTCCCCACGTCACCAATTCAGCTTTCCTTTTGGAAGTTCCCAACTTATCCCTTCTAGAATAAACCAGTCAAGTTCTGGGGCCACTAGCATTATAATGGGCCAATTGCTCACTTGGACCTTTACTAGCAACTCGGGTCCTAACTATACATTTAAAATTGCAAAGTACCAGTACTGGGTGAGGGAACCCCATCTTTACTAATGGTTGTGTAAATATAGGGGGAACACTTGAGTATGACCAAGTATGGCTCAGTATGCATACTGACATGTTTAATTGCACAAGAACGGGTCAGCCAGCCACACAACACCACCCGGTATGTTTAAATGAAATTAGGGTTTTTCCAAAATATATTAAAAGGAGTCGGACATGAACCCCTGATACTTGAGATACAATGCCACCTGGAAAAATTTTAAAATTCCAGATACGATACGGCCAAGATACTTCAATTTAAAATTATGTATATGCACAATATATAAACATAAGTAGTCTAAAAATGATAATAAACATTCCCATGACTGAAAATGATCAAAACAAATGACAATATCATATCTTTTCTTCACCATTTATATAACAACAATAACACCATTTGTACTATCCGAAAAACATTTAGGCCACAAAGAATTGTCTAATATTCACTACTTAATAGTTAACACCGACAGTGTCTGTCTCCTCTCCCCCATTCCCATGTCTTTTCACAAAGAGAAGCAGATGAAACAGAGACGCTAAGAAAATAGAGGCATGTGAAATAGACATGCAGAGAGAAGAGCAGCAGATGAGAAGATATGAAACAAAGCACATATAAACAAGAGAAAAAAAGAAACAAAGTATACACAGTGAAGACAGGACATACATTGGGGCTGTGAGACAGCGGCGGGATGGGTGTCAAACCCTAGCTTTTGATCAAACGATTATGCATGTTGTTGACTCTTGTCACTCCATTTATATTTCACTTTATTTTATTCTAAAAAATAAAAATTCTGGAATCCTTGCTTCTAATAAAAAAAAATTTTAAAAATTATTTGTTTGGAGTTTTTCATATTTGTGTCGTAGTGGTGCCATTCAGTTGTATATCGTGCACAAATAGTCGTATCCAAAACATATCGGCCGCATTTTTAAAAAAATAATTTAATTGCCAGATACTTCCTTGATACGTATCAGGGCGTATCAGACATGTATCATTGTCGGATACATGTCAGACACCCATACTACAAAAAGGACATATTGTGTTTCCTATTTTAATAATAGAATGATATCAACCAAATCAAATAAAATAAACGATAAAAATGCGTGTGGGCTGCTGCTACCTCTTGCAATAGAGTTTGAGCTAAATAAAGCTTTGAAACTTTTGGCCCAATCTAATAGCAATTACTAAATAGCATGATTTCCGTGAGTAAAATACCAGATTAACTGTAGGTACTATACTACATAAGATAAATAGCAATGTTATTCCGCAGAAAATAAAATATTGTCCCTAAACTATATTTTCTTTCAATAAAGCCTAATATGTTTGAGATATAAGACAAACAAAATGAATTTGATCTAAATGTAGGGTTTGATTCTCAAAACTTACACTGATGGAGGTGGTTCAAAGGATTTTCGATCAAGTGGGGCAGCACCAGTAGATGGAGTGTTGTCAGGAATTGTACTGGCTTTTAACACTACAATCACCATATGACATGAAAAAGAGGGGACGGGGGATGAAAAGCTGTTAGAATCATTCTATTATGGAAAAGATTAACAAACATAATAGAAAGTAAACAGATACTGTAAATCTTGCAAAAGGATTGAAGATTCGCTGAATAATTGCATTCTTAACTCACACCAATCTTAAGGATAAGGCTCCTTGGGGATGTCTTTAAAATACCGTCAATTACAAGAATTCAAAAGCCGATAGACCCATTAGAGGGCACTTTTCCAATTTCAAAAAAATATAAGCTAGCCATGTTAGACAGCCTAAGACCGGATAGACAGTATCCTAATTACTATTACCCTGGACAATAAAACATGTGTTTCATTTTTATTCAAAAGGAATGTGCCTCCCCTTGAATAAAAAAGGAAATTTAAAACATTTTTAATCAGTATCTAGATTTATGTGGCATTGTATACCAAATACACATGAAAGTCTCTCCCTTTACCTCTAAGAAACAAAAGTAATTAATACCAGATAGTGGCACAAAGCAATATATTTTCTAATAATAAGTGTGGGGCAATGGTATATTTTCTATCTAGCTGACATTGTAGCACTGTTTGAGGAAAGCAATTATAGCCAAAGTCATCATAGAGAAACTTCTGTTAGGCTTTGCTTGTGAGTTAGGTTTTAGAGGGGGGATGGCTTACTTCTGCTTTTTTAAATTATGGACACAAACGTTGCAGACGCAGTAGACTCCACAACTCCACAACTGCATCGGACTGCATTGTGGTGTGATTTAAAATCACACATCCGGACGCATTAAAAACAACATCAGACAATTTCACCAATATTTTTTCAAGTATTTTCATCAAATCTCAAAATTACATAACCCAAAACTCAACTTACTTGGGATGTAATGAAAAATCTTAACTTTAAGTGCTTTTCAATATTATATTTCAAAAACCTCCCAACAAAAATTCACGTCGCAATGGCTGCAATGTGCATCGGAGCAAGCGTGATGATCGCAATGGCAACACACGCAAGTGCAAAGAAGAACCATAGTGTTTGGATTTCTATTACAGCTTGGGCATGTTAGCATCAAAATTAAGAGAATCCAGACACCATCAAGAAGATAATAAAAAGCATACAATTAACAACAAAAACAAAAAAAGCACCCAAATGCGTTATTAATTATTATACAAGTAAGATTCAAGTACACAAGCGTTTATCCAAAGAAGAACCAAACTCACCATGAATAGGACATGGATTTTGATTTCTAGAACAACAACTCTTGCATGACTCATAAGGACACCTACAAATAACAGAAATCATCAGAATCATAACAAACAAATACTCAAAATCAAAGTTCCAAAACAAAACCAGTTTATGATAAAAATAAATAAAGACCTAGAACGAGCAACGTTGCCACACTGTTTGCACTTAGGCTTATTCTGACCGCGTTGCGATTTCGGCGGCATTGAAGACATCGGCGATCCCAAACCTAGGGTTCCCACCTTCGCCGTCGAACTGTTACTAGGCGCCGTCGCCATAACCGCATAAATAACACCCCTTTCGAATTCAAAGGGTAATAATTATAAGAGAGATGATTCAAAATAAGAGGAAAATGATAATCTTCTTCGTTTTTTGAAATTGTGAGAGTAATCTTTTGGAAGAGAGTGAAGTTTGTTTCGGTAATTTTACGAACTGTTAACCCCCGTGCGTCGCGTTATAGCTATAGCAGTCGCTGCGAAGCTGAGGTTTGTAAGTTTAAAGGGGAGGAACTGATGTTCGACATTGTACTTTTATTACTTTATTTTATTTTATCTTCATCACAAAACTAGTTATTATTCTACTTTTCTTTTTAACAATTAAAAAAAATACTTTTTTTTTTTTCGTTTGAGTTTATCTCGGAGTACATTTTAATCTTTTATCTTTAAAAAGTTTTAAATTGATTCTTTAATTGTTCTAAAAGGTTCACGTTAGTCCTTTTCGATTTCTGGCATGTGGTGTGAAATTTGATGTGGCATATAAGTATCACCATATTAATTCAAATTCAACAAAAACTACTGAAAAATTTTGCGTTAGACCAAAATTCAAACCAAGTACATGTTGGTCACTTAGAAGTTAGTTTACCACCGACCTAACTTTTCTTTCGTGATTGAGTTTACTAATAAAATATATAATAATTATCTCTTTTTTCTGGATTTCATCAAAGTTCATGGCTTTCGTCGATTATGGAGAAATCATCATTATCATTATCAAATTTGAAATCACAAACGAAAACGATAATCGAAAAAGAAAATCTAAAACTGAAATCGAAGAATAGCAAAATCAAAAATCTGTTTGTTGTCTTCGATTTTATTTTCTGAAACTAAATTTGGGGCTTTACTGTCTTTGATTCGTTTGCTGAAATCTGGATTTGGGGCTTTAGGGTTCAAAGAGGGATGGGATGAATCGATGTATGTTATTGTTTGTCCTTCTGTTAAATGTCATGAAAACTACAGACAAAAAATTTGGGATAAAGTGTTCTTCGATATAACGTGAATTGAATATTCTAATAAACATCAAAATTGATGATGAGAGATAATGCATCTGCTAGGATGAAGAGAGAAAACGCACTTTTACCTTAAAAAATGGGTGAACTGTTACTTTCATTACTTCTTTCAGGCACAGTGAAAGTTGCAACAGACATGATTGTAATAATAAGAGTGCCCACAATTGTGAACGAGAGAGATCGAGAGATGAGAGAGTGATGGTTCTTGTTGTCGTTATAGGAGGCCATGAAGTCATTAAATTAGGAGTGCAAGAATGTCAAAATATGATAAACTTGAATGCAGTATTAATAACTAATAGCTAAGTGGCTTAGTGGTAAGTTATTCTTCATGCAACCATGGTAATCTGGGTTTGAATCCAGACTGATTGAACAAATTTGGAATTTATTTTTAAAATGTCAATGACCTTGATGAAAAGCAAATGCCACGTCGTATGAACATATGACACATCAGATGTCAACATGGAAAAATTAATGTCGTGGAGGGACCAGAATGGACCCCGAGGTAGGCTTAAGGACCAAAAATGATATTTTACCTTAAAAATTAATTGTTATGTATTATGATTTTTGTAAAATTAAATTTTATTTTTAGGTATTTAGTATTTAGATGGATGTTTATTAAGCATAACGAATTTGGATTTCAAACTCAAATTAAGTATGTGAAATTTGTTAAGTAATTAAATCAACGCTTGTTTGAATATCAATATTGTTAAAATTAAATTAGTCGATTTAATTGAGAATCGAATGTATTTTAGTTCGATTAGCTTAAATAAAGTGATATTAAATCAGAATTGAAATTAAACAAGAAAACTCACTTCAAATCGGAGTAAATTGGGTGAACCTTTGAAATAATTCAGATTTTGAGAAACTAACTAAAAAAAAGTAATCATTTATTTTGACAAAATTTAAACTTGGTTTAATGACATTTTTGGTCATCGCATTTTGACCAACTCACGAAATTGGTCCTTCCTTTTTAAAACTAAACACGGTCCTTATACTTTCTTATTGGTTGCAATTTAGTCCTAAAGCTCATTTTCTCCTCCAAAAATATTGATGTGTCAAATAAACTCATCCAATAGGCATTTACATGTCATTAAAACATATTGTATTATTTAAAAAATACAAATATATCAATTCAGAAATTAAAACAAATAAAACTAAAAGAAAAAGTGATATTTAATTGAAATAAAGCCCTAAATCCCAAACCTTCTTCATCGTTTTTGCTCCTTCTCCTTTCTCACATTTCTTCTTCAGTTATAATGTTGTGTCCAGTAACAACTGTGCATCACGAAGAAGACAAGTCTGTTGTTTATGTGATCTTGAATCACCGCTCACGACTTCATGGACAATGGGGAATATTGGGTGTAGGTTTAATGGTTATAGGTTATACAAGGTAAAACCCATATTCTATCAAATGAATGAATCAGCATTAGCTTGAACCCAAAATTTTAAAAATGTGTATTTATTTGTGAATATAGTTGCAGGGACGAAAGGGGTGTAATTTTTTCAATTGGTACGATGAAGAAATGTTTGTGCATGCAAAGGAGGTGATTTTGTCACTAATGAAGATAATTGATAAAGTTAAGAAAAAGGATAGTTTGAAGATGAAACAAGACGAGGATTTGAAAAATAAGCTTAAGTTTTGCCAAGGATTGGTTGTTCTAGCTGATGTGGTCATCATGGGATTGCTCTTTATTGTTTGGTTGAAGGCTTGAATGTGTTTAGTTGTTATTGTTAAGGTGTTTTGTGTTTATATGGTTTTGTTTAGTGATGTTTGTTGTAACATGGACTTATTTAGTGATGTTTGTTGTAACACAATCTTGTTTAGTGATGATTAAATATAATTTTCAAATGATGATTGAATGAAAATGAATTTAGAATCAAAGAACTGTGTTAAAACTGATTTTCATTTACACAATGTTGATTAAACTAAAATAAGCATAATTGAGCATAATTGTCATTACATAAGCATAATTGCCATTAACCCAAAATACATATCTCTTATTAATAAAGCGAACTAAGTCATAAATTAGTAGGAAACCCTAAACCTAGCTCCTATTTCATGTCCTTTTTCTTACATTTGACTCATCATAACTACATTAAATGATTTTGAGAAATCCTAATTGTTGTAATAACATTTTATCTTATAAATAGCGCTGTTATGTAGTGTCAAATGATTATTTCTCCGTGTCATCATCCAATAATGCAACAACGAGGAATTGTAGCATCCACTTAACCAAATTAATTACTCTGATAGATCGAGTTCTAAAACTTATGGATATGTCTGTCTAATGATGAAGATATCAAGTCGTAACATCCACTTATCTAAAATTATTTGATGTCTATTTTGTAATTATATAGGAGTTATTCAATTGGCTAGTATCATTTTTTACAAAGAATTTGAAGTCTTAGTCAAACAAAAGGAACATAACCTTTCTTTCGCACAAAATTCGTGTGAGTTACATGAGTTTTATAACCTAAGGTTTTATGTTTTGGATGACGTTGTTCTATTTAAAACCAGCCAGATTTCATATGAATTAAAAGACAAATTCATAAAAGATGTTTTGTTATCAAACTGTGATCCTCCATAAAATTCAAACAAACAACATGATACTTCATTTTCCCCATTAATTATATTTTCTACTTTCCATATTATCTCCAACATTCAATAATGACTTGATAATTCTTTGTTTTTTCTTTAAGAAATAAATTCTCGTGATTTTCCATATTCACTACAAATTTGAAGAACGGGATAATGATTCATCAACATAGATAACTCAATTTAAAGATTTTTTATTTTTCCAATAAATTATGGTTGCAAGTTTCAAGAATGTACTAATGTGTTGCAATGTTGTGATTTATCCACAAGACTTTCAATATATCGTGCAACTTTCCATGTCAAATGGTTTTTCTAAGAATGACTTAATGTTACAATACTTAAGAATGAATGCAATTGAAAGATGATAAACATTTATAATTGATAAAGTTGTGACATTGTTATTTTCTATATGAGATGAGATGATGGTTATTATTTGCATCGGTTTCCCTCTTGCCACTCTTTTTCATCAGTCATATTAGTGACTTATGTTGTAACTGGTTTGAAATTTGAGAGTCGTCACCCTTAATTTTTATCTTAAGGAAGGGAATATAAAGGATAACCTTAAGAGTTAGAGATTCTAGGATTTTTGAACTCGATTCTAGATGAAGGGGAGGTGTTAGGCACCCCTCATCTACCTTGTTCACAATGATACTAGGGTTAGAAGCACGATCTTAGGAAATAAGGTTTTAATTTTTATTATGAGGACTTGCCACGATTTTAAGTTGTATGCCTATGTATCTTCTTATGAGGAATCAGAGTCCCAATTCGTAGTCCGTAGTTGTTTGGTTAGTTTTTTTTATGGATTGTAAAAATATTTTGAATTCTCCTTGAACCAAGTCCGGGTTTGTAAATTGCAGAATTATGGACGTAGCTCGCAGTTTGTAAGAAATATTAATGCAACCCTTTTTGAAAATAGTGTATAGATTGAAATGAGTTAGTGGGAAAATGTTAGTGTTCATTGGTTAGATGTTTTCAATTATATAGTACAATTATAAATTTGAATTGAAAAATATGTAAATATAAAAAAAGATTAGTATTTTTAGAAATAGTTTAATCAATAAATAAATATATTATAATTTTATTAAAAATATATTAGATATTTTTGATAAAAAATAGTATAATTATTTATTAATATGAAGGAAAAAAAATTATATAAGAATGATAGAATAAATGAATATATAAATGATATTGTAAAAAATAAATTAAATTGATTTAATTTCGCATGGGAGGGTGCTAATAGAAGAGCCCTGAATTCAGATTCTGAATTCAGGCCTAAAAGGACAGGGGGTGCATTTTTAAACTAACTAGTAAAATTTGGGGGTGGAGGAAGTATGGGTCCAAGTCCAGATATTGGACTTGGCCCATTTGGCCAAGGGGGTCTGTTTTTGTACTGATTAGCG